CAATGGAAGTGGAAGTGAGAGTGACGAGTCCCAAAGCACAAGGAAAATGCCAAGATCTGAAGAGGAGGGTGAATTTAGGATGATAGTTAAATTCAAAGATAAAAGTGACAAAGCCTTAAACCCACTCAGACTATCGGAGGAGCTAAAAAACAAAATGGGAAAAGTTCTAAATGTGAAAATGATGATGAATGGGAATATACTTGTTTTTTGCAGAAATGATAATCAGAGGTTGAATGCCCTTAAAGTTCGGCATTTGCTTAACAGGCCTGTTGAATGTTTCGTTCCTGGTCAGGCTAAAAATGCTAAAGGAGTGATCTATGTAAGCCTTGAGATAGAAGAGAGTGACATCTTGAAGAATTTAAAGGGAGCTGAGGTTGTAGCTGTACGGAGATTCAAAGAAACCGGTAATGCTGTGCTATTAACATTCAAGCAAGATATTGTGCCAGCAAGGGTTAGCCTTGGATATATTAGCTTGCCAGTGAGACAGTATATTCGTCCCCCACTGCGTTGTTACAATTGTCAACGCTATGGCCATGTAGCAGCAGCATGCGGAGGGAAAAAAAGATGTGGGAAGTGTGGAGGAAGCCATGACTTTATTCAATGTAAAGCTGATATAGTCAAGTGCTGTAACTGTGGCGGAAATCATGTATCTTCATTTAGGGGGTGTGAGCATCATGTTAGAGCTGTGGGAGTAGAGAAATTGAGAGTTGAAGGCAAAATATCATATGCAGATGCCCTGAAGAAAGTGAGGGGAACGGGGGAACCTTCCAGACAAGTGGTAGTTGAAGTACCTTCTGATTCCCAGCCTGATAGGGAGAAAGTGAGGCAGATTGTGGGAACCCAGTCATTCCTGGCATTCATGGTAGATGTTCTGTGGGCAGTTAGAGACCAAACCAGAAGATCTGACGTTATTAAAGTGGTGGTGGATGCTGCAGAGAGATTTCTGGAAGAGGCATGTATGGGTCCTGAAGAGTTGCACAAGTATATGAGACAGAAACTGGAAGTTTACGAAAGAGGTAGGGGAAAACAAAAGATCACTGACAGTAATGAGGAATGTACTGGGGGAAGAAACATGGACATAAATGATGATAGGTAAATTGCTGATGTTTTACATCTTACAATGGAATGCACGGAGTTTGATGGCTAATGGACAGGAACTTAAGAGATTTGTTGATGAATTTAAGGATCTACCAGAGGTGATATGTATTCAGGAAACTTGGCTTAAACCATGCTTAGATTTTGTGATTCCTGGATATGAAAGTAACAGATATGATAGAAAAGGAAAGTCTGGGGGAGGGTGTGCAACATTTATAAGATCAGATGTACAGTATCAAAATGTAGAGATAATGTCTAAACTAGAATGTGTTATAGTAAGAGTTGGGGACAGCACAGGTGGATTAACATAATAAACATGTATAATCCTTGTTTGCAAATAAATCTAAGCGAGTTGGAGTGGGTTATGGAACAAGTAGGGACACCGGTCATTTGGGTGGGGGATTTTAACTCTCACAACCCTCTTTGGGGTAGCAGAATAAAAGATAATAATGGGAGCACTATAGAGGAATTTATGGACAGGTGGAGATTAGTTTGTTTAAATGATGGCAGGCCAACTAGATTTGATATTAGAACAGGAAATGTTTCATATATAGATTTGGCATTAGCGTCCAGTGAACTAGCTAGGGTTGGAGAGTGGGATTCTTTGGACAGATATACAATAGGGAGTGATCATTACCCAATATTATTGAGGTTTGGGAAAACTTTATTGAGTGAAGAACAGGGTAACCAAAACTTATTTAATTATAGTAAGGCAGATTGGGCACTTTTTTCTGAAAAGTGTAACAAAACTATAGAGGAAGTAAATGAGGAAGGGACAATAGAGGAATGGAATAGCAGCTTATGTGAAATAATTATGAAAAGTGCAATTGAATCTATCCCGATAAAGAAGTGTTCTAAAAGGAAAATTAGTGTGCCATGGTGGAACAAGGACTGTGATAAAGCAGTAAGAGACAGGAATTGCGGGTATAGAGCATTGAGGAAACATCCAACAGAAGATAAAGCAGTAGAATATAAAAGACTGCGAGCCAAAGCACGCAGAGTGATTAAGACTGCAAAAAAAGAGTGCTGGAGAAAATACTGTGGAAAACTAGGGGCAGAGACTGCAGTAACAGAAATATGGCGGGCAGTACATCGTATGGCAGGAAGTAATAGGAAAAGGAAAATGCCAGTTTTAGAGGAGGGAGGATTGTTTGCTACAAGTGATTTGGATAAAGCAAAGCTATGTGAAAATAGCTTTAGAGCTGTTCACAGTGGAGCTAACATTGGTGAAGCAGGTATAAGGAAAAGAAATGAGATATTAGAGCAAAATCGATACAAACTTGAGATAAATAATGATAATTCTGATGTGGGTAATTTATTTTTCTCATTAGAAGAATTGCACAGGGCAATTGGAAAAGGAAGGAAAACAGCCCCGGGAAAGGATGGTGTTAGCTATGAGATTGTTAAGAATCTTAGTGACAAAGTTTTGGAGGAAATCTTGGCCTTAATGAATCACATATGGCAAGAGGGAAGTCTACCTAGCACATGGAAGCATGCACTGGTGGTTCCAATATTGAAACCAGGGAAAGACGCTTATAAGGCAGGATCATACAGGCCCATTGCACTGACATCAGTCCTATGTAAAATAATGGAAAGGATGGTTACAGACAGATTGGTTTATAAGTTAGAGAAGAAGGGATGGTTTACATCAGTACAAAGTGGATTCCGTAGAGGGAGAAGTACCATGGATGCCGTTACGTCCCTTGACAGTGATATAAAGAAAGCAATGGTGAATAGAGAAGTATTAATGGCGGTGTTTATTGATATTGAAAAGGCGTATGACATGCTATGGAAGGAGGGGCTTGTCATAAAACTATATGAGGCTGGAGTCAGAGGGAGGATGATTAACTGGATACAAGACTTCTTGAAGGACAGGAGAATTCAAGTTAGGGTTGCAAATGCTTTATCAGCTGGAACAGGTATCGATAACGGAACTCCTCAGGGTAGCGTGATAAGCCCAGTCCTTTTCAATATTATGATAAATGATATATTTGAAGAAATTGGGAATAGTTTTGGAAAATCTCTATTTGCTGATGATGGGGCCATCTGGAAAAGGGGCAGGAATGTCAAACAAATAACTGAGCAAATGCAAGTAGCTCTGAACAAAGTAACTAGTTGGGGTGAAAAGTGGGGGTTGAGGATATCAGTGGAGAAATCAAAGTATATAATATTTGGTAATAAGAAAACTGAATGTGGTGGTTTATTTTTGTATGAACAAGCAATTGAGAGGGTTAAAGAGTTCAAATTTTTGGGTGTGCATTTGGATGAGAAGCTAACATGGAAAAAGCAGATAGATAATGTTGTAAATAAGTGTGAAAAGGTATTAAATGTAATGCGTTCCCTCTCAGGTAGCACATGGGGTGCAGGCAGAGATACTCAACTAATGATCTACAGGGCAATGATAAGATCTAGGTTGGATTATGGATGTGTGTGTTATGGGACAGCCGCTGATACACATTTAAAGAGGCTGGAAGTAATACAAGCTAAGGCACTGAGACTATGTTGCGGGGCCCTCCGTACAACTCCAGTCCCAGCTTTGTTGGTAGAGATGGGGGAAATGCCATTGTCAATTAGACGGGAGAAATTGGCAATGCAGTATATTGTTAAATTATGGGCACATAAAGGAGAACACCCTACAAAAATAGTTCTAAGTAATGCGTGGGAGTGGGGATCAGGGAAAAGGAGGAAGGAATGTTTTATGTTTAACATCAGGAAAAAAATTGAGGAACTGGGACTGAAGGAGGAAGGGATGGCCCCGCAAGTGTACTGGTCAGTTGTACCACCGTGGTTGATGTCCATACCAGAAATAGATCTTAGTATAATGGATAACATCAAACATCATGAAGGCACAGAGTATCCCAATATGGTAAAGCGAAGACTGGAAAATCAGTGGGGAACTTACCTTCAGATATATACAGATGGATCCCAAGATCCACAAACTGGGAAGTCAGGCTTTGCTTTTTATATCCCACAATATGAATATGTAAAGCTTAAACGACTGTCTGAGGGGGTATCGGTGTATACAACAGAACTTCTAGCTATTATATGGGCACTAAAGTGGATAGAGGAAGTGCAACCAAGGAGAGCAGTAATATGCTCAGATTCGGCTTCAGTGTTAAAAACTCTGGGAGGAAGTAATATGGGAGCTCGGCCAGATCTGTTTATGGAGCTGATGGTTCTGTTGTATAAAATCGAAAAGGCTGGAGGGTCAGTGGGATTTCTCTGGGTCCCTGCACATGTTGGGGTAGAAGGGAATGAGGTGGCAGACAAGGTAGCAAAAATGACTCTGAAAAGAGATATTGATTTAGAAGTTTGTATTGGGGTCACCGAATGTAGATCTGTCATTAAGGAAAACACTATAGTAGTATGGCAGAGGCAGTGGGAAAAGGAAACAAAGGGCCGGCATTATTATGCAATACAAAACAAAGTAAAGACAGAGCAGAGTTGCTTGGGTAAATCCAGAAGACAAGCTGTAATTATGACAAGACTAAGGCTGGGACACTGTGGATTTGCATGGGATCTAGCGAAGATAGGCAAACATGAGGATGGGCTCTGTAGAACCTGCAATCAACAACAGACTGTTAATCATGTGTTTATGGAATGTCAACAGTATAAAAGGCAAAGAGAACAACTGTATTCTGAGGTAGCAGGAGATGGACTACAAGCAGTGACATTGAGAGATATTTGAATCCCCATGAGAACCAATCAAGGATAGTGGAAGCAGTCATGGATTTTATATCTGCAACAGGATTAGCCCTCTGAGAATGAAGGTGCTATAAAGCGATACCGAGACTGAACTGTGGGTGGCAGCAATATGCCGTAAGGCATCTAGTCTGCCGGAAAGCCAGTAGAAGAAGAAGAAGAAAAGGTGACCCGGAAGCAGTTTCGGCGACACTTTTTCTCGATTCTGATTGGCTGTGTTCACGCTGCTGCTGATGTGGTGTTCCGAAGATAGCAAGCCTGGTTAGCCGATTCAGAGATATTCTTTGGTAAAACAGTGACTTTGCTTTGTTAGAATAATGCCTTATTATCAGACTTGGGAAGAGTTCGCCCGTGCAGCAGAAAAACTGTATCTGACAGATCCCATGAAGGTAAAAACCGTTTATTTTATCAGTAGGTTAGCATGCTAGCCGGATAGCTCGTTAGCGAAGTGAATGTGACTGCTGGTCTGAATGTGTTATTTATTTATTTATTTTTACTTTAAACTCTCAAATTCACTAGCTGTTCTGTTTGCAGGTCAGAGTGGTTCTGAAGTACAGACACTGCGACGGCAACCTTTGCATAAAAGTGACCGACAATGCCGTGGTAAGTGATGAATGTTTTAATGGAATTGTTAGTATCAGATGGTAACGTTTAGATGTTGACTAACATGATTTAGGATAACATTACTGTTTACATCGGAGGACACTATAACATATCTGGTTGATGGAGGGAAAACCATTTCTTTAGCTTTTTGTATTAATTGGTATTAGTTTGCCTGGGAGTTTACCAGTATCCAATTCACGGTGACGTGGAGACGTAAGTAAATCTTAAAGGCTAGGTGCTTTGTACGTGAATATACTCAGCTGTAGTCATTCGTTTTGTGTTGATTGATTCATCAGCTAATTGTATCAGCATGAACTCCTCACAATGCACCAGTGCAACCATTGTGTCTACAGACACGCTAGCGGCTCTGGGAGAAAGGGATAAAGCTGTTATTATAAAAGAAACACCCAGGACTGGACAAATGAACGTTTTGAGCGGTTGATAGATGTAAAGCCAGGGGGAGAAGATTCATCCTCATGGGGACATACTTGTCTAAACTATCAAATGCTGATGCCGATCCATCTAGTAGATGTAGAGAGATTTCTCTTTAAAAGTGAGCTATGTGACCTGCTGGCGATGTCACAAACCCATTTAGACATTTAGTAGTCAATATCAAAACCACTGACATTCCACGATTCTCAAAACCAAATTCGATACCACGGTAAAAAACAGAACAATAAATCTCATGTACTTCAATATACACTGCTTAAATTACAACACATTAACATTACAAAAAACAACATTGAAAGTTGTGAGGGGATGTCCAGGACAGATAAGCAGTGATTTTATGTCAATATATTCATAAATGAGCAAGATATTGAAATAAAAACTTTGCAATGTGCCTAAATAATTATTAATCTTTTTAACTTAACTAAAACTAAACTAAACTTAACTAAAATGTATAATATTCAAGGGTGCTCACTACCTATATTGGCAGTGGTTTGAGATTTCTCTGTTGAACAAAAAAAGTTATTGAAGATTGAAACAGGTCGTATTGCACTTTTAAGACACACTGACTCCACCTATAGTGACAGGTGTGCTATCTGTGGATGCCTGGCAGACTGAATAGTCAAAGCTAGTTGCGTTTAAACTTATAATAGAATCGCAAAGCCCTATTTTTTCCCCCCAAACAATCACAACACTGTGTTAATCAGCATAATTACACAGTGAAGGGTTTTATTCGTGACATTTATAGTAGAATAGAAAGTTTGATGTGACTTGGCATGTCCTGGAGCGCTTTCATAACAATAGGTAGTTAAGGTCTGTTGAATGCGTTGTATTTATGAAACAGTGATACAATTTACTGTAAACCCTTACTTTTAAATGCATCTACTTTCCAAAATTGCTGCTTAAAGAGGTGGTATTAAGCTTTGGCTTTTTCCTTCTCCTTTATTGAGTTATATACATTTTTTGTGCATGTACTAGGTTTGCAAAGTGAAAAAACCCAAAGTCCAACCCGAAAGGAGTTCCCATCTCCCACAGAAAACTCTGCTCTGCCTCAAAACAGCTCGTTTGTAGTCCAGCTATTTCCCTTTGATCCCTGTGACGACACAGGGTTAAAGGCAAAATTCGTGCCATATTGTTCGCCAAGCGGCTACTCCGACACGCCCTCAAAAACACCGGTGGAAAAACTGTGAGCTGCAGCACACGCCTCTCCTCTCCCTTCCAAACGTCTAGTTTGTTACTGTGATGTAGAGACATTTGTTACAGATTAATAAATCACCACTCTGAAACTTTTGCTCGAGTCCATGTTGCTAGCTGTTGAGGGTAACGTATACAGCTGAACCGAAGCCGTGTTTATCATTTAAAGGCAAGATGTATCACTCCATAGCTAAAACGAAATGTTCAACACAGGGTCAAAAGAGGAGCTGCAGCAATGTGCAGTATGACAAAAAATATGGTGTTATTTGAAAATGAAACAATGTAAACCTGCTCTGGTACAACCCCTAATTTGACCCTGAAAATGAGCAGAATACCACCTCTTTAAAAGGGGGGGGGAATGGGTAAGGGAAGAGGTGAAGCAAAAGAAACTGGCAATTTTACAATATTTTTTTTGTGACTTTTTAATCTGTGACAAAAATTGTCACCCCAGTTTGTCAGTTTTATGTAATAGTAGCTGCCATTGCCCTCATGTAGTCTTTTGTCCATCCCCACAGTGTTTACAATACAAGACAGACCAGGCCCAGGATGTGAAGAAGATCGAGAAGCTCCACGGAAAACTGATGAGACTCATGGTGTCCAAGGAGACGCACAGCGGTGCCATGGAGACGGACTAAAATGCTCTAGTGGCGCTGACCTTGTAGAGCACCTGGACTGAGTTCAGTGGACGAAATGGTGGAGAGAGCACAGAACCATCAGAGTGCTATGTGGAGTCTGAGAGAGGGCAGTGAAGAGAGAATGTTGCGAGATTGATCTGGCTGCCTACACTCTTTTAATACTGTCAGAGATGTGAGATATATACTGTATATATTCTCAGGATTTTGTTTTTTTATGATACTTTGTAGTCATTAAAAATCCATCATCCAGCTTTTCCTTGTCAGGCATTTTGATCACATCCCTGATGGTATTAAAATAAAGTAAGGTCAGAGTAGGCTGCTGGGAAATTTTAGGAAATGTAGAGATTGGAAAATAAGAGGGGCTGGGGGGAAATGTGGGACAAACTGTACAAAAAGTACAAATCCTCTGCTGCTGTGTTAGCAGCTTTGGCATTGAGCATGGAGTGTGCATTTATTTTCAGTTTCAAAGGGGACGAAAAGGACGGGCAATAAAGAGGCATTGCATGTCTTTTCTATTTACATCTATGTTGGATTCAATTTCAGCACAGCGATTGGTTTCATTTTGTTTGTCCTCATGGATTTGTGCCATGCGAATGAAGCAGGACCTTCTGATTTTGTATTGAAGGTGTGGAGAAACCCACGATTTCAATGGAGAAACTCCCACACTTCCAGATGCCATTTCGTTGTCTGAAAAATTGCGTTACATAGTCAATAAATGTTTATTTACCCAAGTACAGCCAGTATCTCCTTTTATTGATCTAGTATTGTGTGCAGTGTTTTAAGAACCATAAATGACTGCATGATTAAAGCTCAACTGGATGTGGAATGTAAAATCTGAAACTGAGATTTAATCCTCAAACTTCAGGGTCAAACAAATTGTGGTCACATTTTTACAGGTCTTACAGATGTTGCTGTCTGTGGTGCATTATGAAGAAATTGCTCTTGTTATGTAGTCGGGGAACCAGACACATTTGCAGATACCTCTGGCCCTCCTCCCATCCTGACATGTTTCCACCGGAAGTGGATCCGGGCAGGCCAATCGCAACCAAGAAGCTGGGTTTGATATGTGTTATGTCCAGCTGTTGCTGCGTCCTTGTTCAGTAGGAGATAGTAGGACAAGGTCATCAGCATAAAGTAGAGACTTTAGCTCTCTATGTAGGAAGGAGAGGCCAGGAACAGAACAGTGATCCAACAGCAAGTCTGCTTATATAAACATTAAATAGGATACTAAGGACAGTACCCGCCACAGCTTGTTCACCCTGCTGCCTTCTGGGAAGAGAGATAGAAGTTTCTGCTACCACACCACCAGACTGCAGAGCAGCTTTCCCCCCCAAGCTATCAGACTCTTAAACTCTAATTCATCCTAGCATGATAGTATATTTCTGTTTACCATCTTTCATAATTGATTCTTTATTGATGTATATTGTCTGCTATGTATCTGAAGGGAGTTACAAAACTAAATTTCATTCTATAACGTGTTGTGACAAAAAACCTACCTACATAAATAAAGTAGGACTTAAATTGCATCCCTGACAAATTCACTTTGTTTCTCAAATTTTAACAGCACACCTTTTTCCCCAAATACATTGACCAGATTGAAATATTTTTTAAAAACTTATAAAACAAGTGAATGTCATGTGAATATCTTCCCACGTTTTGTTTGGTGTGCATGTTTAAGTGTGAATGGTGTATAAATGGCTGCTGGTGAGGTGTTTCGGGAAGAAGACAATTAGATTTTTACTACATTCGTCATGGAAATGTAGTATTGTTTTATTTTGAATACTACAGAATAATTTACTCCGACAACTGCGGACACAGATGCCACGGTAGGCTCTGACATGTCGTTACTACACGTCCCATCATGCACTGGTGTTTCTACAGTTCCCACGGCAAATGTTGATCCTCTCATGTTTTCCTTTAATACGCGTAGACTTAAAGCGTTACCTTAAACTAATAACTCTGCTGCTCCTGTTGTTCCAGCTAAACTTAAAGATTAAGTTTGTGATTCATTTTAAGGAGAGTGGGCGAGGATAGTGGGGAAGGATTCAAGGAAAACTGCTAGGAATCGAACGGGACCAGCAGGGCAGCTGTGGCGGAAACGTGGAGCTTGCGGAGAACAGGTAAGACAGCTAAAACCAGTTCTGGTGAAATTCTTTTGACTGTGTCGTTGACGACATGCGTTGAAACAGTGATGCTGAATATATTTGCTTGTTTGGACCAAGTTAAAGTGAAGTTGTTAAACGTGGTGCTGCGTCACGAGTTCAGCTTAAAGTTGCTGAAGGGAAAACTTCGGACTCTGTCCACAGCAGAGATTTTCCTGCTCGATAGTTCAGCTTCAAGTTTCCTAACTGTGTCGCTGTCCAGCTGTGGTTTAACGTTACGTTGGATTGCAACATGAGTCATCTTTATCACCTTTAATAGCCAGTGTTGTTTTAATAGTTTACTGAATATGCTAAATATGTAGACCACAGGCGTGTTTAGCCTTCTACAAATACCTTAATATAATAATGTTACACTCACTATAATAATTGGTGTTTGTGTGTGCGCATGACCCGGGACACAGGCCTGTACATCTGACAGGTCGTTGAACTGCACTGAAAGTGGTCTGTTTTATGTAAGTCCAGTCTTGTCCTCTCATGGATGGCTGTTTGAGCTATGGTAGCTCTGGATATACACACAGTGTGAGAGTACAGTGGGGGGCTGCCATGCCTGCAGCTCTGCTGAATGGGAAAAGCTTTGTCATGCAGGTCTCAGGACTCTGTGCGGAGGAGCCAGGGCAGCCCTGTTCTTTAGTTTAATCCTGTCAGCTGGCCACAGCAACAGTAACAGCAACACTTTTGTTTGACTGGTCGTGCTTTTGTTTCTGAACTCATGACTAATGAAATAATTGGGCCCCAGACTCAGATTACACCTGGAAGTCATTGGAAATGTTTGTACTTAAGTTTGTTGCTCGCAAGTGGGTTACAGTTCCATTCTTATACAGTGTTAGTTTCTATATAATCATTCAACCATTCCTCCATCTCTGCTCTCAGTCTTTGCATTTACTCAATTACGTTTCACATGAATGACTTTAGATGTTGTGGCATCAAATTAGAGCCCAAATTGGCATGCCGATAATATCGGCCTATACTAAGTGCAGATAAATCTGTATCTGTGCCAATAAATGACAATTAAAAAAGAATTAAGAGACTGATCCTTCTGTCATGTTATGAGTGTTGTCTATGCATGGTCTGTCCACCAGAGGGCACTCTGCAACTCCCCGGTTGGCAACACACACAAAAATCCACCACAAAACATAACAATTAGCTGATGTGATCAGCTGTACTTTTCTTTTATATTACATATTATATTTTTATTTATAAACAATAACAATAATATAAAATGCTTTCAGGACTTTCTGGGAAAATTCATTCATTAACACAACCTCAAACTATCTCGGTATAACAGTTTTTTATTCCTTTAGAAAATATATTGCTATACCTTATATTACCAATATACCACCTAGTCCTTATTTAGCGTTCAGTTAGTTTCAGTATTTTGTCACATACATAGATCGTATATAAGAAGTGGATGTAGTCATAGACCTGTTGGTTTGTGGACTGCCATTTTGAAGCCTTGAGTTTTGCTGATAGAGTGAAGCCATGTTGAGTTTTTGCAACCAGCGGCACCGGATGTGACCAGAAGAGTCGCCCTCTGCTGGCTGTTCAATAGAATGCAGGTTTAAAGGACTTCCACATTGGATTCACGTCTCAGACCGGAACTTCCCGATGGGTCACATATAATGATTCTTTCTTTTGTCTATGTCAGGTATAATAAGCTGGCTGCAATTTTAATAACGAGTACATGTTTGCACGTTCTTTAAAGGTGCAGTCATAACATCATGTAACAGCACATTTAAGATATATTACTGTGATCACAAATACGGCTACATCAGTTTTGTAATATTGTGGAGTTTTACTGATGTCTTTATGTAAAATATCTGTTGATAAATTGTTCCATCTGTTCTCCACTTGTGTTGTCTCCCTGTTTCCCCTGTCCAGTCCTGTATTTCTCCATCCATCCTTCCCTGTGCAGACGCTGAGCAGCATGTTCACAGAGGTGCTGGTTGCTCTGGTGATTGGAGGACTGATCTTCTTCCTGATTCAGAGGAGCAGGACCCAGGTTCTAAAGACAGAGGATGGCTGGTGGGGACCCGGGATAACCCCTGATGGTGTGGAGGACGTCACCATCCACCCCTTTAAAGTAACCACCAGTGACGAAGAGCTGGAGGTTAGATTCACTCTTAGCATTTACAAATAAGGCAGTTAACCACTAAGCAGACTGAAAACATTGTGAGAGCTTCCACATATCTTCTCTCCTTTTCTGTCAGGACCTATACCGAAGGATAGACCAGACTCGCCCTGTCCCTTCACTAGAGGATAGCCAGTTTAATTATGGCTTCAACTCTCAGTACCTGCAGAAGGTGGTCTCTTACTGGAGAAATGACTTTGACTGGAAGAGACAAGTTGCCAAACTCAACCAGTATCCCCACTTCAAAACCAAAATCGAAGGTGAGGCTGCACTGCTGACACATTCATGCAGAAGATACTGTTGTACCTCTAATCTGTTCTTATCTGAACTTCCATCCAGGCATCGATATCCATTACCTGCATGTGAAGCCCAAGAAGGTGCAAGAGGGAACTACTGCAATTCCTCTGATAATGGTTCACGGCTGGCCTGGCTCCTTCTATGAGTTCTATGGATTGATCCCTCGGCTAACAGAACCATCAGACCCAGAGGACCTTGTGTTTGAGGTGGTGTGTCCCTCCATACCAGGGTACGGTTTTTCTGAAGCGCCACATAAGAAAGGTATGTTTTTCTGGTAGACATGGGAAAATATAAATGCTAGCTGTTTGAATTTTGACAACTCTAACAATATATTCTTAAGAACCTTTTCTCTTGCGGTGGCAGAGATGCTCACAAGTCTCTGAGCAAGAGTCCAAGTCAAGTCTCAAGTCTCACGTGGTTATTACGAATGCTGTATCACCTTCTGCGTTCAATCCAGGTTGCTTATAAAACTGTATAACTATAAGAAATTCTGTAACTCGAACCTGTTTTGCATTTAAAACTGTGACGTTACAGAATCAACAATAAACCTGCAACCTGTTTTTAACTTACAGAGTACAGCCATGTAATGTGCAATGCAGTTAATGACAGCTTATAAAATACTGTAAGTCAACCCCCCCACCACTCTCAAACCAGTGTAACATTATAACTAAATAAAACTGTAAAGTTACATGGTGAACAATAAAGCTGTAACCTGTTTTTAACTTACAGAGCACAACCATGTAAAGTGCAATGCAATCACTGACAGCTTAAACTACTGTAAGTCAACACACCCTGCAGACTCTCAAACCAGTGTAACATTATAACTAAATAAAACAATAAACCTGTAACCTCTTTCCAGCCAACGTTAGTAATTTACGTGATGGCAGCCAGCAGGACGTAAATGATTACGTTAATCGACCGCCACAAGTTTGGCAAGTAAACAAACGCTCATTCATCTTTTCATAACGAACGACAGTCGGAGTTAACCTCCCGTAGGTCGTAGCTGAAGCAAGAAGCAACAAACGTTAGATGGCCAATGCTGAACTTAACATGTTTACTAACCTCAGGTTACTAACCTATTTGCGTTCAGCGCGTCTTTGTTTGGGCCTTCTTTGAAGTTTTAAAGTCAAAGTTTATGATGAATGGCAC